AGAGAAATTGTGCACAGTCAGAATTCCGTCAGACAACTTCAAATATTGATGCCGATCTGATCTGTGCCTGAAACGGTGATCTGTAAATTGGATCTGGAGCGCGTTGCTGTCGCCTATTAGCAACAAGTTGAATCATAAAATTCCATGAAGATTTGACGACGCTATGGCGGTTTGACTAGCAAGAGGTACAGTAGCCACTATAGTCTTAGGAGTACAAACTTAGCAAGAAGAGTTCGAGATGGAGATGGTTCCCGGCCTCTACATACCCCAAGAGCCGAGGTCCAGGTTGGTGGTACACCACCACAGAGTCCCCAACCATGAAGAGTCTCGAAACAAACCCTCCAAGGGGCTACACCAAGTGAAATGTAACACTACACGAAGTAGCGTTACTATTTTTACTATTTAATATTTATCCGTGTCCCTTGGGCTTGAAATCTTAAGCTCTTCATCTTGGTTCAGCAACATAAATTCTTCTTGAGTTGATGGAGGCTTGCTGCACACACCTGCCATGCGATGGATACCTCACACTTGAAAAAATAGAAAAAACACATGCGGCACGCAAACGACGACTTGACATGCGAGTTGTGAAAACTCGCTAATGTCTTGACCGACACAAACCACATTGTGATACACCATTCACACACACACACACAAGCACTAGATGGCAATGACATAGACTCACCATTCATTCCATGCCATGCATGCACACACATAAACAATGACGACAAGCCGAGTGCAAGCCATAGGGTTGCACCAACAGAGTGGATTGGAAGGAAGCCGAAGGTGGATATGCTTCGGGTGTTCGGGTGCATGTGCATGGCACCAGTGCCTAAGAAACTTCGGCACAACAAGCTTGATGCCAAGGCAACATGGGCCGTGCACCTGGGCATGGCTCAAAACAGCAAGGGGTGGCTTCTTTGGGACCCATTTACCAAGAAGTTCTTGGTGAGCAGAGATTGCATGTTCATGGAGAATCTACCGTACAAGGAGTGGAAGGCGGAGAACCAAGCGAAGATTGGTGTGCGGCTTGGAGAGGTGAAGAGTACCGGCTTGGAGCATGTGGAGCTGCCCTTGGGGCTGAGTAGCAGTAGCACAATAACAAGGCAATCTCCTCAAATGAATGGGAGGAGGAGGAGGTGCAGCAAGGTGATGAGCGTGCACGGTCACTTCCGCCTCGTGCTACAAGTGCTCGCGGGAACCGACCAGATTTGCAGCAACGCCATGAGAGCATCCAAGTCCCTGCAGTTGAGGAGGAAGGGGGAGAAGGAAGACTTAGCCCCCCAATAGGTTGAGCTATGACCGGCTCGGAAGACCGGCCAACTCAACCTTGACCGCGTCGGCTCTCATGCTAGGCGATGATGCGGAAGATGAAAGCGGGGAGTGCGCTTTTGCCGTCTTCTCTCCGGTTGAGATGCCGGGGGAGCCTACAAATCCCAAGGAGGCTTGGGAGGGCCCCAGTGGGAAGGAGTGGAAGAAGGTCTCAGATGAAAAAATGGGGAGCATCATAGAGAACGACACATTTGACTTGGTGAATCTACCTCCGGGGCGGAAGGCGATCTCTTCCAAGTGGCTCTTCAAGCGCAAGACCGACGCCGACGGCAACATTGAGCGCTACAAGAGCAGACTTGTAGCCAAGGGGTACCAGCAGCAGGAAAAGAAGGACTACAATGAAGTATATGCTACCGTGGTTAAGGGTACAACCCTTCGAACTCTCTTCACTGCAGCGGCCATCAAAGGATGGGTGGTGAAGCAAATGGATATAGTAACGGCCTTCCTCAACGGAGTTTTGGAGGAAGAGACCTTTATGGAGTAGCCAGAGGGGTACAATGATGGGAGTGGCAGAGTGTGGAAGCTGAATAAAGCACTCTATGGCCTCAAGCAAGCCCCTTTGCAATGGTACATCAAGCTGCGGGAAGTCTTGGAGGCGATCGGTTTCACTCCCTCAACGACTGATCAATCATTGTTCATGCTTGGCGAGGGGGAGCAGAGGAGCTTCATGGTGGTTTATGTGGATGACATCCTCATATTCTCACCCTCCTCTGACCTTGTGAAGGAGGTGATGCTGAAGCTTCAAGACAAGTTCAAGTGCAAGACCCTTGGTGACGTCAACTACTACCTTGGGCTTCACATTGAGCGAGATGTGGAGAAGTGGTGGATGCGAGTGCATCAAAAGAAGTACTTGGAAGCCTTGGCTGCAGACTTTGGGAAGAGTGAAGGTCATGTGGCTACTCCTCTACCCTTGGGGTTCAAGTGTGTGAAAGGACCAGCGGAGGAAAGTGTTGATGAAGAGGAGAGGCGGCGTTTTCACTCCTTGGTGGGCAGCCTCATGTATGCGGCCGTTCACACAAGGCCGGATGCAGCCTTTGCTACCGGAGAGTTGGCTAGGGTTGTCCAATGCCCTAATGAAGAGCAGGTAGCAGCTGGAGAGAGAGTGGCCAAGTACCTTGGCCAAACATCAGCTGTTGGACTGCAATACTCTGCGGCGGCACAAAGGCGTCAAAAGGGTGCGGATGGAACCGAACCTGGGAGGCTCCTTCTCACCGCCTTCTCTGATGCATCTTGGGCATCAGAGCCAGAGGATATGGGAGGCTTAATCTGGGAGGATATGGGAGCCAGATGATATGGGAGCAAGTGTGGGAGGCTTAATCTGCTGTGTTGGTGGAGGCCCAACAGCTTGGGAGAGCAAGAAACAAGTGGACCAAGCATTGAGCTCGGTGGAGTCCGAGTACATGGCACTCTTCCGTGCCATAAGAGAGGTTGTGTGGCAGCGGCGTTTGCCAGCTGAATTGGGGGAGGATCAGCAAGGACCTACCCCACTCTATTGTGATAGCCAGGGTGCTATTGCATTTGCTAAGAACCCCGTACTTCATGGCCTTACCAAGCACATGAAGGTGAAATAGCATTGGGTGAGGACCATGGTAACCTCGGGTGAAGTGGAGTTGCACTACGTGAAGACGACGGCGCAGCCAGCTGACATGATGACCAAAAGGCTGGTTGAGAAGCAGCATTGGAAGTGTTGCAAGCTTTCTGGGATGGCTCTGAACTAAGGGGAGCAGATTCTAAGGCCAACAATCCGAGGGGGAGTTTGTTGGTGCAACCCTATGGCTTGCACTCGGCTTGTCGTCCTTGTTTGTGTATGTGCATGCATGGCATGGAATGATTTGTGAGTCTATGTCATTGCTATCTAGTGCTTGTATGTGTGTGTGAATGGTGTATCACAATGTGTTTTGTGTCGGTCAAGACATTAGCGAGTTTTCACAACTCGCATGTCAAGTCGTCGTTTGCGTGTCGCATGTGTTTTTCAATTTTGTCAAGTGTGAAGTGTCCATCGCATCGCAGGTGTGTGCAGCAAGCCCTCATCAACTCAAGAAGAATTTATGTTGCAGAATCAAGAGAAAGAGCTCAAGATTTCAAGCCCAAGGGAAGTGGATAAATATGAAAATAGTAATGCTACTTCATGTAGTGTTATATGTCACTTGGTCCAGCCCCTTGTTCAGTTTGTTTCGAGTCCCTTCGTGGTTGGGGACTCTGTGGTGGTGTACCACCACCCTGGACCTCGGCTCTTGGGGCTTGTAGAGGCTGAGAACTATCTCAATCTCGATTCTTCTTGCTAAGTTTGTACTTCTAAGACTATAGTGGCTGCTATACCTCCTGCCAGTCAAACCGCCATAGCGTCGTCAAATCTTCATAGAATTTCATGATTCAACTTGCTGCTGATAGGTGACAACAACACGCTCCAGATCCAACTTACAGATCACCGTTTGAGGCACATATCAGATCAGTATCAATATTTGAAGCCGTCTGACGGAAATCCGACTGTGCACTCTATCTCTCATTTTACGCACATCTGAGCCTATTGTGATTATAACAGGAGCACTCTAAATCTGTTTGTCTCTGTTTCAGAGAAACCCAAAACACTTGTCTAAAAATTAGAGAAACCGGTACACCTGGTCTGAAAAAATCAGAGAAAACTTAGAAGTTTGTCTAGTCCAACAATAGTTTTTGAAACCCGCTGTCTGAAAAAAACAGAGAAACCCCTAAAAACCAGTCTGAAAATCAGACAATCCAACAAAAAAAGTATGCTATTTAGGACCCTGCTTGATTGCACAGCGGAAGTCTGAACCCTTGGACTAGTAAGTGAGAACAAGGGATTGACTATAACAAGGGGATACTGCCACGAGGAGAAAAGTTGACTAGAGAATGGCAACAAGAGAGTTTCGTGTCTAAGTGTTGTACCCTATATCAACTGCCTCTAGCTATGCTATAGTTTAAAAATATTCTCAACATATAGATATATATTTATATATATGAATTTTCTATTACACCCCCTAGCCTCGGTACGAGCAGAGCCAAACAAGATACAGTAATCCAGGGCAGCACTGTTAGCATTCATATACATGTACCGTAATCACCCAGATAGACGCCCTTAGGGGCGTTTATAGGACTGGTTTGAAAACGTGGGGCGGCGTTTAATTAAATATAAATTAAACGCCCATGGGCGTTGAAAAAGGTATACAGGCAAGCTGATACTTCTACATCAGATTGTAGCTTTTGCTTTGTTTCATGCAATGGGATCACTTTTGATGAAAATTCTCACATCCATCGTTCTGATAGGCCAGTCGGCAATGTGCCAAGCTGGAAACAAGCTACTCTGACACGAATCTTGCTGGCGCGAAGAGCCAAAGGACGCAAATTGGGCTTCTAGCTTTCACAGGGTGAGGATTCTCGCTATTACCCGAATTCGTTCCGTCGTTTTCGTACAGTGTTTTACGAAATAAAAACGAGTCGTATAGGGTACACACTTTCTACAAATAGGGGGGGCGTTAAATCAAATAATAGCTATAAGGCGCAAAGCACGAGATAAAGCCCATGGGACTTATTCTACGGAGGGGCGTCTATCCGGGTGATTACGGTATAGGTGTTACTACATATATAAACAGTATAGCCTTGCTAGGGTTCAGGCTATATATGGTACAACGCTTAGGTATACTCTCATGTCGGTATACTCTCATGTCTTGCCTTCCCTTAAGGGCGCCTGGTATTACGATTCTCGCGATATGGTATTACGCTAGGCTTGCTCCTAGCTGTCGTGCTTCCGCCCTATGTCCTCTTCTCCCACCCTAGCTATCGTTCGTAGACTAGGTTAGGACCTAGTCTCCCGCCCTAACCTATGCCCTAGCTCTAGACTGCCACCCTACTATCGCATTGCCCGCTACTCGCTGCGAGCTCGCCGCTGCAAGCAGCGCACGCCACTCCCCGCTCGCCGTTGCCAGCAAATCGCATGCAGCTCGTTGCCGCCAGCTTGCCGCCAGCCTGCTCGCTGCCCGCTCGCCGCTTCCAGCTCGTCACCGCCCACCGCTCGCTAGCTGCTGCTAGCTCACTGCCAGCTCGTCGCCAGCGGCGTACCGCCAGTTCGCCACGAGTAGCAGCTGCCAGCTCGCCGTCAGCTCGCTAGCAGCCAGCCGCCAGCTCGCCGCCAGCTCGCTGTCCCCAACCGCCAGCTTGCTGCCGGCTCACTGCCCCCAAACGCCAGCCCGTCGCCGGCTCGCTGCCACCAGCCCGCCCCTCGCAACACACTGCCAACCTACTGCTTGCCGCCGCTACTAGCCTGCCACAGCCGCTGCTGCCAGCCTGCCGTCGGCCTGCCACTACTGCAGGCCTACCGCTGCTGCCGCCGGCCTGCCACTGCCGCCGGCTTGCCACTGCCGCCAGCCTATCTGCCGCCAGCTTGCCACTGCTTCTGCCACCAGCTTGCCACTGCTGCCAGCCAGCTACTGCCGCTCGCTAGCTGCTGCTACCGCCAGCCTGCCGCTGCCGCCAGCCTGCTGCTGCTGCCAGCCTGCCTGCCACCAGCCTGCCGCTGCTGCTGCTGCCGCCGGCCAGCTACTGCCGCCAGCTTGCTGCTGCCGCCAGCCTGCTGCTGTCGCCAGCTTGCAGCCCCTGCCAGCCTGCCACTCCTGCCAGCCTATTGCCTGCCAGCCACTCACTCCTGCCGCCAGCTCCTACTCCCTGCCAGCCAGCAGCCGGCCAGCTACCGGCCAGCCGCCCACCAGCAGCCCACCCACAGCCACTAGCTGCCGGCCAGCCGCTAGCTAGCTGCTTTCACCGTTCCTCCGGCCACTGCCGCCGCTCTAGCCGCCGCCGCTCCTACTCCTAGTGCTGGCCCCTGTCTCGTTCCTCTAGACTCGAGCGACCTCCTCCAATCTCCTCCTAGTTCCGGAGCTCCTCGCCGCCTACCCTGCCGGCATGACGACCACGTTGGACTACATCCTTCGGCTTGACGCCGAGGGCCATGCGGTCGCCTTCGCGGCCTGGTTTCTCGCGCTCCGCCGGTAGCTGGTGAGCCAGCAAATTGAGGGTGAACTGCTCGAGGGTCACGTGACTGGTGGGCTACCTGCCATCCCCCACCCTGATCCCCTTGCCTTCGATGTGACTTCGGTGCAGCGTGAGGTGTACGCAGCTGCCCAGACTGCGCATGACAGCTGGCGGGCTCACGATGCCGCTGGGCATCACCCGGTGCCTGCCAGTCGCCGAGTATGCACGCTTTGCTTTGCAGGAGACAGCTCAGGCTCTCTGGACTGCACTTGAGGCTTGCTACTCGTCCCCGTCCTCAGCCGCCCTCGGCCGCCTCAGCCTCCCGTTCCTCTTCCCTGACTTGGCCTCCTCCTCCACGGTCGCAGACCTTGTCGAGCACCTCCGAGACCTCAAGGTACGCTATCGTGCAGCCTGGCCTGAGGCCGACCTTGCCACCCACCTCCCGTCCACCTTCCTCGCCCTTTACCTCCTCACCAACCGCCTCCCTGACCGCCTCGCTCCTGCACGTAACACGCTCCTTGCCTTGTCCCCCACTGCCCTCACCATCGACTAGTTGTCCACCTTCCTGACGGAGGTCGAGGCCCGCCTCCGCGTCATTGCTAAGTCCACTGGCACAGTGGTGGCCCGTCTTTCAGGATTGCTCTCTGTCTCAGGCCCTTGCCTCTGGTGCCTCCGCCTCTGTTGCTGAGACCGCTGCAGCGGTCACTCCACCTGGCCGCTCGGCCAAGTGCGCACAGCGCCGTGGTGGTAGTGGGGCGTCGTCAGGTGGTCGAGGCACTGGTGAGGCCTCGGGAGCTAGCGGAGGAGCGGGTGCAGAGGAGGAGGGGGAGCAGAAATAGCAGTAGCAGCAACCTCAGTGGCTGCAGCAGCCACCACAGCAGCAGTAGCAACCGCAGCAACAGTAGCAGCGGTAGCAGCTGCACTCGGGTCCTGAGAGTTTTGGGCGTGGTGCGGGCCCTGGAGGTTGGGCCCCGGGGCAGTCGCAAACTTGGAGCTCGCGTGGCTCCTCTAGGGGCTAGGGTGGCGTGGAGCCTGGGGCTCTTGTGTGCCCTTTGTACCAGATCCAGTCCGGCCTCCTGCGCAGCCAATTCTGCGTGCGTACTGGTCACAATGCTACCCGCTGCTACCACCACCTGGACAATCTGTTCCATGGTCACTTTGGGCCTTTGGTGCCCCTTTCGGAGCGGCTTCCTCTTCTTCGTCATGGTGTCTCAGTGTTTGAGATTGAGATGGCTTAGATAGGTGCTGCCATGTTTTTCTATGTACTCTGATGATTATAGTGTGTCTGACACTTATTATCCTGGTGTGTGTAGTCTAGGATCATCTGCTACAGTATGTGTAGTCTAGGATCATCTGCTGTGTGCATTCTAGGCTCCTCATTGGCCCCTACTGAGGCGACCCTCTCTTTCACTCCAAACTCTGGCACGTCCTGCTGCTTCTTCCAAGACCACCCTGCACTCACACCACTCCCTGCACTGACACTGCTCTCTCTCCCTGACTCGCCTACCGCAGTCTTCGCTCACAGCACGACAACCCTCCCGTGTCCGGCTGTCCCGTCCAGCTCCCTTACTGGCTTGCATATCCACACGTTTTCCAATAACTTGCTTGGTGTTGGTCATATCCAGGACCTTGGTGTCACCACCACGTTCCCAAGTCGCAAGAAATGTTAACACCGCCACGCGCGCCCGTTTACCAATTTTGACCATGACCCTGCGTCCGGTCTTTTCACACTGCACACACAGAATCCCCCCAGGTAGCCGAGTCCACCCAAGTTGCTGCGTACTGCTCGCTGCAAATTCAGCGACAGCAGCGATGAGGGCAGAGACACCCTCAGGAGGAGCAGTAGGGTCAGTGACAAGCGATGCAAGCAAGCCTAAGATGACTGGACGAGCAGTGCGAGCAGAGTCAGAGAGAGGAGCAGGGGACAGCGGGAGCGACGACTTGGGAGGTAACAGCAGGACGTGGTTTGGAGGAGCACAAGAACAAAGGACCATAGGGTGGACACGAGCACGAGGAGAAACAGGACGACCACCAGGGGGATGACGCACCCAGTGGGGCAGGGGGGGAATGGGGGATAGGACAAGGGACGGAGGAGAACGAGGGGGGAAACGAGCCGGAGACGAGTCCGAGGGAGGGAGCAGCAGGCCGTAGATGGGGGCAAGCGAGAGGGAGGAGATGTAGGATGGACTGTCGGGTGGTCAGGGGAACCGGAGGAAAGGCCAAGGAGACGAAGGGCAGACCGCGGCTGCTGCTACTGCTGCTGCGGCTCCCTGCCCACTGTAGAGCCCCCAAATCCACCACTGGTACCGCTAGTACTCTCCCCCAGACTAGCACTCTGAGAACCAGCAGCTCCAGTGTCAGCACCCCAAAAACCAGCATCCCTAGAGTCAGCACCCCCAGAGCCAGCACCCCCTAAACCCACAGTCCCCCGCCGCTGTTGGGCCTCGGCTGCTGCTGCTGTTGCGGCAGCAGCAGGGGAGGCGGCTGAGGTTCCTGGGGCACCGGGGCTGGGGGAGAGGCACCACAGTTGTGACAGGCACACCCCTGGCCACGTGACCTCCAAAGTCAGTAGACTCCCCTACAGGCCCAACCAAGGGGAGGGGAGTGGCATGAGAGACACCAAACGGGGTCGGGTGGGGTTGTGCACCACTAGGGATCGAGGCCGGCGAGAACGAGCGTCACAAACAATTCTTCCGATAAGTTGCCACCACTTCTTATAGCCTGTCGCGTAGTCCCATGCAGCGATCCATGTATGCCATTGCTTTCTCCCTTGCTTGCATTTGAATCGTTGTTAGTTGTGCCATAAGCCGGCTATCAGTCATGCTGTCTGATGCTTGGTAGATGCTTTTGAGGTGGCAGTAGGTCAGCTCAGCTGAATTCCCACAAGTTCAGTATGTCCGGATGTTCTGCTGCTCCGTTGGTGACAAGTTCTGAAGGAGAATGGTGAATGCCATCAGCGACTGATATGCATAAGTTTTCTTTTCTTCAATAGTCCCATTTTGTGGATATGCCCAAGAGCTGGTGAAAAGGCCGAGGATCTGCGAGCTGTCTATAGCAGTTCATGTGAGAATAGCCCTGATCCTGCGAAGGTTGCAGAAGTCTGCTGAAGTGGCATATCAACGAATTCTGTGGACACGAGCCCTGCAGAAAGGCCCGTCGACGAAGAGCAGATTTGTTGACAAGGCAAGGCTCTGCGGGAAGTGGCAGAGGAGCAGTTTTGTTGGTGGCAGAAAAGCGGTCCTATCGGAGTGGCAGAATAGGAGCGCTTTTTCTGCATATGACTTCTACATCGACAGGTGCTTTTGTAGAAGCGGTCTCGGGCAGAGTCGAGAGTGTACAAGACCCTCTGCCGAATTGGCACCAGGGGCCATTCACAGAAGGGTTGTCCTCTGCCGAAGTATCGGGCATAAGATGTTTTTGTAGGCGATCCTTTCAGCAAAATCGACTCTCGGAAATGCGTTCCAACAGGATCTCGGGCAGAGTGGCGCAAGGACCTGCTCGCACAGAATTACGTTCTGCCGAAGTTCAGCAGAAATGCAATTCGGCTATCTCTTCTGTTGTCGACCCCCTCGGCAGAGACGAAATTCAGCAGAAGCGCGGCAGAGAGTCATCTCGGACTTCGCTTCTGCGAGCAACCCCTTCGACAGAAAATCGGGGACTTAGTTTTCTGCTAAAGGTGGCGGTGCGAAATCGCAAGAAATTCGTGAGCGTGGAAGAAGTGCAGTTTCTTGTGTGTTCATTTTGTGTGTTTTTCTTCCTTAGGATTTCCTCCAGATCGGTTCTCTGCTGGTTGGTGATTTCGCATGACCAGTGCAGGGGAGTGTTGAGAATAGCCCGGATCCTGCGAAGGTTGCAGAAGTCTGCTGAAGCAACATATCAACTGTTGTAATAAAATCGTACTTAAGCATTTCTATAAGAAGTTCCGATAGATATTGTCGAGTTACACTGTAGTTAGCATCCATGGAATGACGTCAGCAAATAGCGCTCGTCTGGATGATTACATCAGCAAGCCGTTTCAGTCACGCGAACAGTCGCGCTCTTTTCAGTAGCGATTAGAGTGATAAACTAAGCTAGGTAGGAGGGAAGCCATAGAATGGCGTGAGGTTTAGGAAGGAGAAAGTTAACGAGAGAAAAGAGTGAGAGAATAGGAAGAGAGAGGCATACAAGGAGGGAGTTGTACCCTCGACAGTAGAGTTCGATAAACCTACCAAGCTTACCAATTATATAGCAAAATATATAATTTAACACACCCTCTAGGCTTGGTAATCACAAACCCACCCAGCACACACACCCCCTAACCCGTTGCACCCCCATGCTCGAGATCAGCCGAGTATCTACCCCTCGGGCTTGGCATAGTGACATCCCCCGGCAAGAGGCAGCGCGGGCAACGGCCATGGCTGAAGGCTCTCGGCGGTGTGGCACGGCGAGGCGAAGACAGCATCTACGGTAGGAGGAAGAGGAGACGCAGGGGAAGGGGGGGGCGGGGGGGGGGGGGGGGGGGGGAAGAATCTTCAGCGACGTGCCATGGGTGGCGCGGCGCTTACTGGCTGGAGAGGGCGAATCTTCAGCGAGGCACCATGGCTGGCTCAACGCTTACTGGCGTGTGAGGGCGAATCTTCAACGAGGCACCATGGCTGGCGCGACGCTTATTGGCGTGGGGGCGTTACGACTAGCGCCTAGGACAGGATGCTGGCCGCAGCTGTCAGTGCGCTGGCATGGCGAAGCCGCCACGGCAGCACGACAGCACGGCAGCACGGCGGCACGGTGACCCAGCGGCACGGCGGCGCGACGAAGCAGCGGCACCCTGGCACGGCGGAATGGCGGGACGGCGCCCCGCCGTACAGGAGGCACTGAGGCACGGCGACATGACGGGGCCGGCGCAGAGTGATGGGGCCGGCGCAGCATGACGGGGCTGGCGCGGAGGGACGGGGCCGGCGCGGCGTGACGGGGCCAGCGTGGCGTGACGGGGCCAGCGCGGAGTGACGGGGCCCGCGCGGCATGACAGGGCCAGCGCAGAGGGACGGGGCCAGCGCGGAGTGACGGGGCCGGCGCGGCGTGACGGGGCCAGCGCGGTGTGACGGGGCCAGCGCGGAGTGATGGGCCAGCGCGGCATGACGGGGCCAGCGCGGCGTGACGGGGGGGGGGGGGGGGGGGGAAGTACGCTGCGGAAGCGTGAGGAGAAGGCCCAAGCGAAAGGGGCCTGCTCTGAAACCATGTTAAACTAAGCATGTGGTGAAGTGAAAGGAAGTCTGTAGCTTTAGAATGTTGGTGAAGTGGGCAAGCATGTGCCAAATTTCTGACGGCCTGTCACTTGGTTCGAAATCTGCCGCAGGTGCTCGAGTTGGCAAGAAACTTAACAAACCGGGTGAGGACTGGTAAGGGGGATGCTGAACAGGCTACTAGTTGGCTTTTCCATATGATGAGTTGTTGAGAATCATGGGCGCCACACTGGTGTTGGCACGGGGGTACATCCCCATTACGACTCAATAAGCACGACTCATATAACCACCCGTACTGTAATGCTGGGACGGTTATGTGTCCTTGCTGTCGCACAGACTTTGACCCTTGCACTTCGGATTGCTGGGTTGCAAGGTCAGTGGTCAGCGACCGTCGTTCTTCACAACCTCCATCGTGTGTCGTCAGTCCGCGTCAGCCGTCGAGGGGTACTGTAGCATGGTTGACTCATCTGTCCACGATGTTGCTTCACTCGCATATTGCATAAGTTGCGATACTCATGAAAATCTTAAAACCCCACGGAAAAATAGCAGAGGAGAGTCCCCCTTGAAAGTTTGGGTGCAAAAAAACCAATTCCCGAAACCTGGCAAAAAAACTACCACAGCCAAGTGACCATGACTTCGAAGTGTAAAAAAGGCAAAACCGCACAGCAATGAGGGCTCGACGCGACAACCTGCTGACAGCCTGGCGCTTCGTGTATAACCCCTGCGACACTTGGTCGCATGCGTCGAGGGCCTCGGTGATTTCTGGAGGGGGGTTCAAGAGGGACCCCCCTCTGCTTCTCCCTTTTTTTTTGGTTCCCTGGGCGAAATCAAGTGGGGCCCCACTTGGTGTCCAGGTGGTATCAAATATGACGAGGCAAAATTACGGGCCCTGTCATGCAGCCCACGACGTGCGACCCTACGAAATTCGCAAGGCACGATGTTGTCGCACCAAGCATGCCAGCCGGGATTTGTTCTGAGTATTGAAATGTGCAGGCTGCTGCCCAGCTCCGAATAAAAAACTGCACCTCGACACACAAGGGCCCTAATCAAGAGGGGTCCCGACTTCATAACCCCTCTGCTATTTTGCTGAGGGGTTTTAAGTATCGTCCTCATAATTTCCAACACTTTTTGCCTGAGAGGACACCTTGGTGTGATGGACATGGCATCTACACGCATTCGTC